CCCCCCCCACGCTTGGTGAACGACGAGGGGGCTCCCCCCCTCCTCAGTAACAACCCGTTCTGCCTAGGGAAATTCTCAAAGAAGATGAATCCGGATCCCTGAAAGCGACCATCGAGGACATCCTTTTCAAGGCGAAGAGAAAAAGGTATTGCGAGCCCTGCCGATGGTGCCGGTGTGGTCGGTTAGAAGGACTCGGTCGTTCTGAAGCTGGGTCCTCTGGGTTGAGTTAAGCACGTCGGCACGCCTGCGGTCTGTTCGTGTGTCCTTACCGCTTCAGAGCTCCAGGTGCCTGCCCCTTGCTGGCTGTGTCAGCAAAAATAGTAGAATTTATTTTTATCTTCCATCTCAAGGCTGAACGTGTACGGGCTAGGTACCCCAGATGTATGCAAGCTAAAGCAGTGAGGTCTTGGTCTGGTGAAACACGGTGCAAAGCACTGCAGCTGCAGTTTGCACTGCTTAAAGAACATCCTTCAACGCTTTTTTTAATATACAAGTCGTGCTTCAAGCTGGCTTTTGGTATGATGGCAGCAGATTTGTGTTCAAGTTGTCGGAAAAATTGCTAGGTAAAATCTAGGTTTGTTTTCTTTCACATTATGTTAAAATATTCAAATTTGGATAAAACTTTAAAGTTCCATTAAACCTGGTAGTGAGAAATAGGTTTTTGTTTCTTTGTTTTCTGAGAGGCATGAAATCTGTAATTGATTTGTCCTCTTTTTAGTGTAAATAAGTTTGTTATTTCTTCATGTTTCCCAGAAATCTAGTATTGGATTTGTTCCGGAGTTTTGTTTTAGGAAACATTCATTCATTTGCATCTTACTTCAGTCCTTCTGTGTTTTATTAGACTCTGTGAACACCATGGACAAGTTCGACTTGGAATGGTATGTTAATGTCTTAACCCTTGTCTGCCCAGAGCCCAGAACTGCTTGAACAGAGGTGATATGCCTAATCTGAAATACACTTTTGCTGACCTAATGTGCTTGAGACCAAAGCTTGTGTTCCGCACCAAACTTTTCTTTTTTTCTAAAATATTCTTTGGTCATTAGCAGTGTGGGATGTGAAGCATGAGTATTCCGAGGTGGAGGTTTGGCATGTTCGCTGTAGCAGGGCGTGTTTTGCAGTAGCAGTCAGATCACAGACACTTGCACTGGTGATTTTTCTTCATGTGAAAAATGTGCATAATCTAAGCAAGTTGTAAATAGCAACATTACTTTATACAACGCTGAGCTCTTCAGGTGAAGAGATGAAGGTGCAAACTGTCCATATTTTGTAGCTTATCATGGGAGGAGAAGAACAGTGTGCATGTTTCAGGGTAGTCTTTTATTTGTTTTGAAGGAAGAATGGAAAAAATGCATTACTTTTCAGTTGATGTTGATTGCAGAGCTCAGTGTGCTGAATTTTCCCGGTTTGAGAGAGGAATTAGTTGCTTTTTTAAGTAAATGGAATAATGAACTGTTCATTTAAATATCTGTTCTGTGAGTGATTATCACTTATGGCGATAATGCAGATGCGTCACCTTTACGTGGTTGTTGATGGATCAAGAACTATGGAGGACCAAGATTTAAAACCGAACAGACTTACTTGCACTTTGAAGGTATTACTGTACTCAAATTTTTCCCTTACTAATCCACGGTTTCTCTGTAAACCAGTTTCATTCTGTATTTAAGAGAATGGCACTCTGCTGTGACTATATTACTTGCACAGCCTCATCTCTCCTCTCATCCCTGCTTTTTTTCCCTTGTTTCTGTTGCTAGTCTGTAATTTTCCTGTTTTTTGAATAGTAAAATCTGTGTGACGTTACCTTGCCTTGCACGAGTACTTCTGTACAGTAAAAACATTTTGTAAGGACATTTTGTGGAAAGACGCATTTTGAAAAGTATGTGGAAACTAAGCTGAAGTGTTGCCCGTAATAAGGGCTAGAAGAAGACCAAACATGCTTTCATTGTGCATCCAGAGTTGTTTTTTTTTGCAGTTGTGTTTTGATGAATTCTGGTTTGAGTGGATGCTAGACGGGAGTTGAATTCGATTGCTGCTTCAGACTATGGAGGACTTGAACTGTACATTTTGTACTATATGATCTTCTCTAGGAACACTGAGCACTGAAATGCTGAGTAGTGGTGATTTTGTGTGGATCAGTGAGTTCTGGTGTATCTTAAAACCTCCATTTGAACCAACAGTAATCTAAAACTTTAATACATGAAGTGAACAAAATAAGGTGTGGCTATTTTCTGAAATTTGCATTGCAGTGGTAACATGGGAGGAAGGAGAAGGATGAAAGGAGAACAGAAGAGAAGGGCTCATTCCCCTGACTTTTCTTTTTAAATGGATGTTTTGCAAGTACCACCTGCTTGATGCACGTGGAATAAAACTGTATTTAGTTTTTAACATTCTTAACTTTTCTTTATAGTTATTGGAATATTTTGTGGAAGAGTACTTTGACCAAAATCCTATTAGTCAGGTATGTATAACCATGCAAGAAACAAGTAACTGAAAACTATTTTGAAAGTTAGTTTTAGTTTTAACCCTACCTAGTAAACTGTTTTCAGTTGATGTGTTCCTTCCCTCGCCTTTCTTATGAGTCTGGCAAAAGTCTTCTTTCTGACTGAAGAAAGTAAGAATCTATCTATTCCCTTTTTCCTAAACATAAATTCTAACACAGAAGAATTGCTTATGTTTTTTTTTTCAGGCATTTAGAATTTTAGAAGATTTATTATGGCAAAAGTACAGGAGATACAGGAATGTATGTTTACTGATGCATAGTGTTGTTCTGCTGTTGTTACTAAAAAACTTGCATAGTTCATAAAGATCCATAAAGAGGTATTAGGCAAAATATAGAAAAAATGTAAATCAACTTATTTTTAAACTTGCTAAGAAAAGATTTGCCTTTCTCCCCCCTCCCCCCTCTTTCTCCAGATTGGCTTAATTGTAACCAAGAGTAAAAGAGCTGAAAAAATAACAGAACTTTCAGGTAGGGAGGTAATGGGGTTTTTTTGGTTTTTTGTTTGTTTTTTTTTAATTGGAGCTCTCTTTTAATCTCTTGCATGATATAATCTACTTGGGTGACACTGCTGAAAGTGAAGTAGTGTTAACATAATATTTTTAATTTAGAAGAGAAGTTACTGCAAGTTACCAGAAACCAGAGTCGATATTTCCATCTGCTTTGATCCGGAATTGTCATCATGTGCTTGTTTGTGATGAAGTCTTATCCAGATTGCAATTATAATATGCTTTATTTCCCCTACAGTTAATATCTCACCCTATTTGTTAATTTTGTATTTTATGACATCTGTGTGTTCTGTCAGATCTGACCAGATGTTAAGAAGCAAGGTTTCTTTGGCTCCTGCCTTCAGTCACTAGCAATCTGTGTAGTTTCAGAGGTGAAGTCTTAATTTCTTCTCTTTATTCACCTGTAAAACTGGAGCAACTTTATTGAGGAATTTGAGGATCCATCAATCCTTGGATAGTACTTTGAGTATAACAGAGGAAACTGAACTCTGTTTCTGCTGAAACACTTTGAGCTTGGCACTTTGAGTGAGACACTTCACACTCATGTTCAGCGCTGATCGATTGGCAACAGCCATTTTCTTCTTTTTGACTTCTTCAGATTTCTGACAATTGGGTGCCTGTAGAGTAAATGTCTTTCTGTTAAAATGTCTTTCTGTTAATATATTGTTTTATTGTTTTCTACATTCTGAGCAAGAGGTCAATTTCTGAGCAGAAACACAGAGTTAAAAGTCACAGTTTGAAAAATGTTGTACAAGTACACTCATTAAATACATACTTTAAATATTTCTATTCTTTTAACATGTTGTTTCAAGTGAATGATTTTTTTCACTTACAGGTAACTCAAAAAAGCATGTAACTGCTCTGAAGAAAGCAGTGGATATGAACTGCAGTGGAGAGCCATCTTTATATAATTCCCTAAATTTGGCCATGCAGACTTTAAAGTTAGTATATATATGGAGGTTTTTTTGTTTTCTTTGTTTTCCATAATCAGTATAATGCTGATTGTGAAATCTTGGAGGAGCAGAGAGAGTATTTTTTACAAGTAGCATCTTGCATCATGCTGACCTGAATCTTTAAAAGGCAGCTTTATCTCCTCTTACAATATAAACTGTTAAAAAGTTCAGTATAGTAGTAGTGCAGAAGTTAGTTTTGCAACACAAGATGCTTCTATTTAGAAGTGCACTGCTTATAAAAAGGTGGGTGATTTTATGTTCTGTATGAATACGGTGATGAAAGACCTTGCAATTATTTTTACTAGAGGGCTGTGAGAGAGGGCAGAGTTAGGGGCTAATAACGATCAGAGAGCAGGAAAAGAAACAGCACTGAATCACAATAATCTGGTGGGAGTTTTGATGTGTTTTAGAGAGGTAAAGTTTTGGGTAGTATAGATTTAAAATACTTTTTTGCTATGTGAAGTATTGAGATGGAGTAAATATTTATGGAAGACTGTTTTAATTAATCGTTATAGCTAGGAACACTGACAGAACAAAGCTAGTAGTCAGTGTCATAAAAATTATTTCAGTTACTAACTGGAAGAGAGTTTTCCATTAAGAACTAAAATACAGTAGGTACAAGTAATGGATTGACAACTGTAAACCAATTGGAGACATTTATTTTAAGAGGTCAGGAAGACTTAGTGCAGCGTTGGTAGTTTGAAGGTGAATTTTACCTGTTAGTACAGGGATAACTTAAGCATTAAAGCAAACAATCAGATAATGACTACCCAATCAAATACTGTATTTGAGATACTGGAAAGTTTTGGCATTTGGAAGGTGAAATTCTGGTCCTCAGAGAAGAAACTTACTGCAGCCTTTTTGTAATTTGTAGGGAACTTCATATCATGTCGTCTTCTGACTTTAGTATGTTAAAGTCCTTGGAAAATAAAGCATAGAAGTAGCTTGGTGTATGGAAGTAAATTAACTGTATACTTTCTTTAGGCACATGCCAGGACATACAAGCAGAGAAGTTTTGATAGTCTTCAGCAGTCTGACTACATGTGATCCAGCCAACATCTATGATCTAATTAAGGTACAGAAGTGAAGTTTGATTACTACGTTAAACGTTCAAGCTATTAGACTAAAACCAGACAGTTGCAGCATCAATTATTTCTCATTTAAAACTTTGAACCACTTCACTGTTTTCTGTTCTGCATATGAATTTGAGTATGCTTTCTTTTTCCATTTGAAGTGTTTAAAAGCAGTTAAGATCAGAGTATCTGTCATCGGCCTAAGTGCTGAAGTTCGAGTTTGTACAGTACTTGCCCGAGAAACTGGTGGTATGTATCTGAAGTTCAGTAGTTCTACTATTAATGCATGTTTAAAATAAAAATTAAGTAGCTAATTTGTCATATGTTCATTAACGTATTTTGCTATTTAAGGATGAATATTCTGTTGTGCTGGCAGAAAATTTAAGGGTTTCCCAAATCTACAAAATACACAGTATTCGGTGAAATTATTGTCACCTGGTAGCTGTGTGTCTAGAGAGAAGAAATACATACCTGTTTTAAAACCTAGCATTCCACCTATAAAGCTATGTGATGTGGAACTTAATGGAACATGTTATATCAATTACTACAGTGGTAATTCTTACAGTATCATTACTACAGTGTAATGTTGGAGAAGAAGCTATGGGCTTTCATACCTAATTAAGAATTCTGATGTTACTAGATTTTAGAATTTGTAATTTTCAATAGCATTAACAGTACTGTTTTTTTAGGAACAGGGTTGGCTAAATTATTTTTTTTTACTTAAGTAGTTTTCTGTCATTTGGAGAGTATGTTTGTGTTTCTTACCTGTTTATAATCTGAGAATAAGGCATTTCCTTCCTCATAACAGGAACATACCACGTTATTTTAGATGAAAGTCACTATAAGGAACTGCTGATGCATCATGTTAGTCCTCCACCTGCCAGTTCAAGTTCCGAGTGCTCCCTTATTCGAATGGGTAGGATACAGTTTTGTTAAAGTCCTAGCACAAGATTTGCGAAGCTTTTCTTTTTCTTTCTTTGTATCTTCTGTGTTAAAGCCATGCAAATAGAAGCATAGGACATTTAATCATTTAAATAATTAGAAGCATAATAAAGACATTGTGCAATTTTTTTCTTTTAACTTTTCTTTTGCTAAATAGATATCAATTTTCCTGTTGTTGCTGTGATGTAGTCAGCTTTTGAATAAAGTTAAGAATTAAATAAGACAGTTGGAAAGTTGGAAGTGATACAGTGGAATGATATCGCTTGTACAGTAATAGGTGTAAAATCACAGATTACAGAATCACAGAATGTTTGGGGTTGGAAGGGACCTGTGTGGGTCATCTAGTCCAACCCTCCTGCCAAAGCAGGGTCACCTACAGCAGGCTGTCGAGGATATTGTCCACGCGGGGAT